CCACACATGCACTTTCTTCAAAATGGCTTTTGTTTATGTCTTTTTTTTTTCTTTCAAAAATGAAATTATGCACCACACACAGTGACTTATTTCATTCTCTTCACATCATACAGGCCAGCTGGAGTATAGAAGACAGTTCGTTGCCTCTGTCTTGGCCCCAGACAGGCACGATAGAGTTCCAGGACTACGGGTTACAGTACCGCAAAGGCCTGGAGTTGGCTTTGAAAGGCATTACCTTGCAGATTCATGAAAGAGAGAAGGTGAGTCATTTTAAATCATGTGATCTTTACCTAAAGAAGCTTGTATGGGACTTTGTGAGACACTAAACCTCTCTAATGTCTTCCAGGTGGGCATTGTGGGAAGGACGGGAGCTGGGAAGTCCTCACTTGCCCTGGGAATATTTAGAATCTTAGAAGCAGCAAAGGGAAAGATCTTTATTGATGGAGTCGACATAGCCAACATTGGACTCCATGATCTTCGGTCACGCATAACTATCATTCCCCAGGTAAGTTATTAACAATTGAAATTGAGCTCTGGCTTCCCGCACATAAACTGTTGACTAAACATCAAATACGGTGACACTATATGAAAGGAATAATCACAAATTGATATGATCTGTGACCAAAATTATCTGTGGGTCTTTTTTCAGGACCCTGTGCTGTTCTCGGGCTCCCTCCGGATGAACCTTGATCCGTTTGACACTTACACCGATGAAGAAGTCTGGAGTTCATTAGAGCTTGCTCACCTCAAGAACTTTGTGTCCAACCTTCCTGATAAACTCAACCATGAATGCTCAGAAGGAGGAGAAAACCTCAGGTACACGTGAATGTTACATGTTGCATAACCCAGTTAATATGTGTTCTTACCTTCTCCAAATCGTTATCATCTGTGTAGCTTGGGTCAGCGCCAACTGGTCTGCCTTGCAAGAGCCTTGCTGAGGAAAACCAAAATCTTGGTTTTGGATGAGGCAACAGCTGCTGTGGACCTGGAAACTGACACTCTGATCCAATCCACAATTCGCACCCAGTTTGAAGACTGCACTGTCCTTACCATCGCTCATCGCCTTAACACTATCATGGATTACACAAGGTATGCTATCAATTTCATGGAGAATGAAAGCAGAATACACATTTTGTTAACATCTTCTCCATCGGGAATGAACAAATTACAATCCAACAATCATTTTTTTAGAGGCCTGCGACATTTACTAATTTTCACAAAATTAACCCCAGGGACCTGAAGCAAAGGTTTTATTCACCAATAAAAATACGACCATACTGCATAATGAGGGATGTTGAATATAGGGCTGCAGCTATCGAATATTTCAGCATTTGAATATCCTACTGAAAATTCTATTCAATAATTGTGTATTGAGCAAAACAAAATTTTTACTTTTTTTTTTTTAATGAAATCAACCGTTTGATTTCTTAAATTCACATTGTGCATTGCAGCAAACTGTATTTTATTGCATAGAAATATTTTCAGCGGGAACAACTTTAAATAAATACATATTTAAACTTAAACTTAAATTTCTTGTATCAAAAACAGGTGTTAAATTAAAAAAAAATGCTAAGCAGTTAGCATTTTAGCATGCAGCATAATGAAACAAAAGGTTCATGGCTATGCGTTTATGAGTTTAGACCAGCTAACGAGGAATACGAATAAGACAAATATTCTTTAAATATAGTTTTGGAAGTGTTCAAACTACAATAAAGATATGTCAAGAGGAAACAGGTGAGATGGTAAACTATATTAAATTTTGATTGATGTTCTCAATGTTTGGATGAATCACTTGTTCGATATTAATCCTCAAGAAAAGTTTAAGGGCACTATAAATAGATACCCAGAAAATCCTCTAATTCATACAGTTTAGTTGGTGAGAAAAAATATTTTTAAAAATTGTGATAAATGTGAGTTAGTAAACTTAAGCTGTCAGGTAACTGTAACTGATCACAAAAGCAGGACAGAGTGGTCTTGATTACATAATTTACCTTTTGTCAAAATGTAATGAAAGTACGGCGGTACGGCGCAGGGGGCTGGGACAGCATTTTGGGGGGGGGGGGGGATTTCTATTCATTCCATACAAATAATTTAGTCACAGCAGCAAATAGCAGCAAAAAAAAAAATTGTCATTGTTTGTTCCACTTTGTGCTCTCTAACAAGTCAATCTTAGTGTACATTGTTCTTTTTTTTCTTGTTTCTGAATGTGGAGTCCTGATTCTGCTGCTGTTCAATAAATAAAATCATAAAATTAATAAAGGTTTATTACAATATATCATTTGGGCAGTAAATGTAAATGGTGGTGACACTTAAAGCGTTTCCTCTTCTTGCTGTGTTGTACAGAGTGATTGTTATGGACCGAGGCCACATCTCTGAGATGGATTCTCCAACCAACCTGATTGCACAGCAGGGACAGTTCTTCCGCATGTGCCGGGAAGCTGGGCTAGTCTAGGACCATGGTGCTTGTGTGCAAACTCGGCACCTTTTTTTTTCCCCATGGCTTTTCAACAAAAGTTGAATTGGTCCTTCCAAGCTTTGTGGCAGCTCAACTGAGGGCATTGTCAATGAGGGTCCAGAGATGCTACCAATATAGTCCCAGGTTTCTGACAACATATGGACATGCTGTCCTGAATCAGGGAAAAAAAACTCAGATGATCAACCTCTAAATGAAGCTACAGTGGATTGCTGGGAGCGTGCAAGGGATAAATAATGGATGCAAAGAGTTCATTCTATTTAAGGCTTAAGGCGAAGCCTGGAATGAGAGAGAACCACAATTTATATGGATTGTTATTCTTGTTGTTAATGGGAGCAGTATTATTGACGTGTCATTAAGCACATGACACATATTTAATGTTTTCTCAGGCTTTGATGTTGATGTTTACTTGCACAAGTTTTGCCTTGAATGCCAAAAAGAGGTCATGTGCATTTATATACTGCTTTGTTTTTCAAGAACGAGGACAGAAATGACTCTGACATACTGACCAACTGGAGGGTTCAACCTTGCGAATGTGAGGGATTTGAGGTTTTCAGAGCCTTCAGAAATGAGTTTGAAGTAGCCAATTTAGATTATTTTTATGTCAGAGAATAGGAGGAAAACAATTGGGTGAGCCAAGTCATTGCGCAGGCAGTTGTTTATTTCTGTCAAAGTAAACACATAAAGTCCAAAGAAATTTTGTTGGTCAGATTTAACCTGATGCCTATATGTGAAAACCCACATTGAATGAAGAGAATGTCTCTTCTCAACAATGGTAATAAATCTTGGTGAGTGAATTTCTCTCCACCACCGCACAACTCAGGCCATACATATATATACTGTATGTGTGTAGAGAGATTTCACTATTGTTCTATCTTTTTTTTTTTTTTTTTTTTTTTTTTTGCTGACGGTACAGTGTAGATAGTCCTCAACGACCTTGATCCTTGATTCAAAGAATTATGAGCTTTTCGCGGAGAAAAGTCAGGATGCTGTTTTTGTCTTACTGGTTTAGACAATCTTTTCAAAGAGAAACCATATAGTTTATTTATGTGGTATTTCAAAAACCTGTCCTTACAATACAGAGGATTGTATTATATTTATAGTTTTTATAACAAGCTGTTTTCATTTTTCACTGACTAATTACGATTATTGTATTGTTGTATGCATTGTGCTGAATAATAAACATGTATTTGATTCAACAGTATGAGTGTGTTGCACTTAATATTTGTTAAAGAATATCAATAACTTCATTAAAACAATGAATCATCAAGGAAAGGAAATATAATGGCAGGAGGCTTTTTAGCATTACTCTGAAAGTCTGTCATGCTAATTTACTGTATAATAATTAGCAATCGTGGGGAGTCTGTACTTAAATGGATTTTTAAGGTATCTGCACTTTACTAGTATTTATTCGACATTTTTTTTATTTTTACTTCAGGCATTTAACAACAAATACTGTACCTTTAGTCCCTGTGATCGACTGGTTAGCATCTTCGCCTCAGAGTGCAGAGGTGCAGGGTTCGACTCCGGCTCTGGCCTTCCTGTGTGGAGTTTGCATGTTCACCCCGTGCCTGTGTGGGTTTTCCTCCGGTTTCCTCCCACATTCTAAAAACATGCATGTCATCTTAATGGAACACTCTAAATTGTTCCTAGGTGTGAGTGTGACCGCGAATGGTTCTTTGTCTATGTGCCCTGCGATTGGCTGTCAACCAGTTTAAGGTGTTCCTGCCTACTGTCCTGTGGAACAGCATTACCGTTATAATCATTGTAGCTCCAGCTCTGTACTAACATGAACCACTGTCACTGATCTATATTGCACAGCACCAGACACTTTAAAGCGCTCAAGGACATCTGCATAATCGCACACTTGTTGTACTACAAATACTGCTACTGGTCACTTTAAAATGGTTCACTGATTTTCTGCACCAACTGTACAACTGTCATAGTATTGCATTCTACCACTGATCACTTTAGCACTGTTTGATACTTTGCACATTGTCTCACAGTTGTCATTAGGTGGTACCACCACACAACAGTACACTTACATTACGGAATGTCCTTCCTTACTTATTTGTCATGTCCTTGTTTATGATGATACTAGTGCAGCGTGTTCTACCAGAGACAAATTCCTTGTGTGTTCTACATACTTGACCAATAAAGATAATTCTGATTCTGATTCTGAAGACAGCTGGCCTAGGGTCCAGCAGACCCATGACCCTTGTGAGAATAAAGCGGATAGGAAAATGGATGGATGGATATTTTTGATGAGGGTGATAAATTATCAAAATAAATATAGTACATGACTGTTCATAACAATTAATTTTACTCTGCTTTTTTACTCTGTTGTGCAGAGGTCTGCAATGTTTTATTGGTACTTAAAGAATGAAAGCAGTCCTACTTGTGTCAGAACCCTTTTACACAAGTTTCTGTTCTACTTAATGACAGAAAACGAGCAATTGCCGTTTTAGTTTTTTTCTCTTTTAGTAGCACTAGACTATAACAGTCGATAGATGGCGGAAGACGTCGAGTTAGTCTCATTGCAGACACACGAAGAAAAGCTGGTGGTTTGTTTACTCCTGTTGCAATGGCTACCATCACCGAACTTAAATGTGGTATGTGCGCGTTGTTATGATTTGGTTGCTTTTAATTTAAACCTGCAAATAATACGATTAGTCTTTGCCCCTTCCTTGGAGCAACTGCTAACAA